TATCAGTCTTTACCAAAAATGACAAAAATATTCACCAAAATTAGAGAATTAAAGATATCATTACAAAATGAACAAATCTGAGAGAGGTCCACATGTAGTACCTATATATGTAATATCAAAGCAATTGCACTTGCGGTTTTTAACAAGAAGTCGAAAATATCATTTTTACCAAAAATGACAAAAATATTCACCAAAATTAGAGAATTAAAGATATCATTACAAAATGAACAAATCTGAGAGAGGTCCACATGCTAGTACCTATATATGTAATATCAAAGCAATTGCACTTGCGGTTTTTAACAAGAAGTCGAAAATATCAGTTTTTACCAAAAATGACAAAAATATTCACCAAAATTTGAGAATTGAAGATATCATCACGAAATGAACAAATCTGAGAGAGGTCCACATGTAGTACCTATATATGTAGTATCAAAGCAATTGGACTTGCGGTTTTTAACAAGAAGTCGAAAATATCAGTTTTTACCAAAAATGACAAAAATATTCACCAAAATTAAAGAATTAAAGATATCAACATGAAATGAACAAACCTAAGAGAGGTCTACCCAAGGTACATATACACCAAGTATCAAAGCATTTAGGCTTGTAGTTTTCAAGAAGAAGTCGAAAAAGTAAAACATTGACACGGACGACGACGACGGACAATCACTCATATGATAAGCTCCGCTCGACAAAGTCGACAGCGGAGCTAAAAAATATTGAACCCTCTAACTGGGCCTGAATATTCACATACTATGTACCATCAAACAAACCAACCAATTTCTTACCTTCTCCATAAGACGAGTCCTAACAGTGCCACCATGAGCAATAATACAATAAATAATGCCAGAATAACATAGATATATTCAGGAATTTGATTAACTTGAGTAGACTGCATTGGTCGTTGATGAACACACAAACCTGCAATTTCATCTTCTATGCTACACCTGCAATTAAAATATGTATTAACAAGTTAGTAGATTCAAGATCAGAAAGTGATACCATTTACAAAGTGTTACGTTGCTCGGCTCATTACAATTTGTCGCTAGGTTCACACAACATTTTTTCGATAATGAACTTTAGCTCTAGCCAATGCTGCGTTAGTGAGCCAGTCAGCTGGCAAGGTTGCTTTTCCCATCAAAAGAGTTGTATGCAACATGCAAGATAACATTATTAACAATAACATAACCAATGAATATTGTACATGAACAGACAAACATACGTACCCAGGTAAATATGTACTATTGCTTTCCATTTCTGGGAATTCATTAGGACGCTGCGAAGTCTTGTCCAAGGGGTGCTTTGTAAATGGATGATATTTATCATTAGGACTGACTGACTGAATTTCACTAGTCCCATCTGTTGACAAGACAACACTTGAGAGTTAGTTACATAATATTGGTGCACATAGTATGATAATTGATAAGAAAAACTGTATTTACAAGAGTATTCACAGATGATAATTTACTCACCAATATGACAAGGTGTGCCATCAGAGTAGTCTGGACATGCACACACATAGTCTTGTTGTCTCACAAGGCACAGATGAGAACATCCACCATTGTTTACAGCACATGGACTTGCTGGGAAAGCTGTGTTGTGAAAGAAAATATACGAGCCTTCAGATACAATCTGTGTTTCACGATGTCTGTCTATTTGCATGTACAATTTATTTAATAAAATGTTCAATTCTATCCATACAAATCAGGAAAATGCAGAATGGTTGAATGAACTACTAACACATTTTAAGTGGTTTAAATGTTTGAGAAATGAGATTAACTGTTACCCGGTTGTCTGAGTGCCGACACCATATGTATATCCATTAATCCTTCCATATGTCCCTGTATACTACCTCGGTCTTTGCCGTTATTCTTGTTGACTGTTTCTATCGCCATGGTTTGCCAGTCTGTCCAATACAGCATATCACCATACTGTATAAATAAGACGATTAAGGAATAAGATTATGGTAAGCTTTCATCATGTATAGCTGTAGTGCTGGCTATTTGCACAGGGGAAATGATACGATTTAGTGGTGATGCAAATAAATTAATATTACATACATGTTTTATTACCAAATAAGACTAGTTGGTAAAAGTATGCTGTAAGAGATTGCTAAACCTTCATAAAATGTGACATTGTTCATTCATCATGTCTCAAATCTGTCATTAGGAATTAACCAAAGTTTACTTACCAATGTTAATCCAAATGGGTGTATGACATCTCCTGTTAGTAAAACACGATTTCTTCCAGATAGATCTGAAGTCTCAATTTTATCAAGTTGCGCATCTGCCCAATACAATCTTTTTGAATCATAATCGACTGTCAGACCATTGGGCCATCCTAAATCGGTGCTGATCAAAGTTCTCCGACCAGACCCATCCAAATATGCCCTTTCTATGTGTGGCTGCATCCCCCAATCAGACCAGAACAAATATCTGTAAGGTTAAGGGTTAACACAGTTTCATAGTTAAATTTAAACTTTAAGAAGTTTTCAGAATTGGATGACGCATAATGAAAATAATTGTGAGAACAAAAATGGTCATTGCCGACATGAACGGACAGATGCACAGACAGATGCACAGACAGATATGTTTCATATAACATATACTAACCCTTTTCTTGGATAAAGAGCAATGGCCCGAGGTTCATCTAGATTGACTGATACAAGTACTTTTCTGCAAGTGCCATCGAGTCGGGACACTTCAATCTTATTACGACCCGTATCAGTCCAATATAGATTTCTTGCCACCCAGTCTACGGCGAGACCATCAGCTGTTGTCAAGTCATCAGAGATTAATGTCTCCATTCTACTGCCATTTAAATCAGCACGTCTAAAACAAAAAATGCATAGTTATTAAAAATACTAAATTCAACAATTTATTTTAAAACAATCAGTTGTTAGCAATGCACATTTCAACTAGAGAATTGAAGATGTCATCAACAAGTCTGAGGGAAGTCCACCTATATGTATAATATCAAAACAATCGGACTTGTAGTTTTCAACAAAAATTTGAAAATATCATTTTTACCAAAAATTACTAAAATATCCACCAAAATTTGAGAATTAAAGATATCATCACAAAATGAACAAATCTAAGAGAGGTCTAACCAAGGTATTTATACACCAAGTATCAAAGTAATCAGAGTTGTAGTTTTCAAAAAGTCAATGCAGATGCTGAACACCAGACTGGTACACAAGACTAATTCATCTCCCCTCATTGTGATAAGGGACTAACCTGATTACATCCAGGAACACATCAGTGTAATATATCTTTCCTTCAATACTGTCAAAATCTAATGCAATCGCATTATGAAGATCGGGCAGTGGTAGAGCTACATCCGAATAGTCAGGCGTGTCGAATGAAATACGGCGAATGCTATCACGACTAGCAAACAATAAATATGTATTGGGAGCTGAGGGAAAAAAAATGTGACAAGAAAATTATTATATATTCCATTCATTTTAGCAGTGATCACATGACTAGAACTATTAGTGCTGTACATGTACATTACATACAATCTGATAATTAGCTTACCATCTGCACAATTCTGTCCATCAGGTTTCATTCTTATTCCAGTAGGACACGCACACGAATACCCATTCGGATTAGGTAAACAAAGATGGCTGCATCCACCGTTATCTTTCCCACATCTATCCACACCTAATAACGTAATAATATGCAGTGATATCAAAATCTGAGTCTTGTGTTTTAAAATGTGTAATGCCAACAAACTTTCCATAAATAAAAAGAAAACGAATTATATCATTTTTAGTAGCAAGCAAAACTTGTCTAATGTAACTGGCTCAATTAGCATCAGAGGAGAATGTGTTCAGGAAGTCAGGGTAGTTTCATTTGTTGGTGTTTTAATGGATAAACATCTTAATTGCTCATGTCACATCGATCTCATCAACAGTATAATTAGAAAATATGTGGCCTATTATTTAAACGTCATACCCCTTAACATTTTAATATTGCTTTATAGTTCCCTTATACAGCCGAATATTACTTATGGTCTGGAGGTTTGGGGTAATACATATCACTCACACTTAAATACCATTTATATGACCCAGAAAATGTTAGTTCGTGCAATGACGTTTAGTTCGTTCACTGAACACTCGGCCCTTTATTCAAAAAATTAAACATCCTTGATATCTATAAAATGCACAAATTTGTCACCTGTACTTTCATCCATGACTTAATCCACCATAATTCTGCCCATAATATTAATGACTATTTCAAACCTATCCATCATCCGTATCAAACCAGACAACTTCACATTCAAAATCTTTTTGTTGAATATACCCGGTACAACATTTGGCCAGTTTACGATGACATACTCAGGTGCAAAAATATGGAATAAAATCCTGGCTAAAATTAAGTCAATTATCTCACGCAGTTCGTTCAAAAAAATGATTAAACAATTATTATTGGCAGAAAACTAGATACATATGATTTTGTTTGCCAAGTTGTTTATTTATTAATTTTTTTTAAACTGATTGATTTTTGCAAAACTTATTTTCTTAGACTTAGAAGTTCTGTATAGCATCAGGTTATTTTTGGCGGTCCCACTTTCACAGATGCCCTGCGGTGTTTGGTGCTGGTGGTTGTTTCGGCAAAGCGTGATGCCATACAGACATATTTGTTCACTTATTGATTAATAAGCTATATGTTTATTCATCACCGATTTGTATTAACTTTCATATTCATTTGTTTAGTTATTTATTAATTTGGTTAGTTAATCTTCATATTAATATACTTAGTTTTGGCCCTCTACTATTTACATTATAATTTACTTCCAATGTATATAGGAAATCAGACTAGACTAGCAGTAAGCTATTATGTGATTTTCTTTTTACCCAATAAATATATATGTATTTTTCTTACCATTTGTTTTTCTGTATGGCTTACTTTTGTTTGTTTTTTGTTTTTTCAGTGTTTCTTATTGTTATTATTATTATTATTGGGTAAATAAATAAATATTATTATTATATTATTATTATTATTAAATAAATAAATATTATTAAAAGTGCAGAAGTTAATAATTTATCAATAAAATTGTTATTTATATATTTCAGACAAATGAGTCTATATCAAAAAAATAAAAATAAATACTAGAATGAATACGAAATATAAACAGGAAATATATCCACACTTACCATGGACATCACCAGCTTGTACAGCATGTATATCCATCAAATCTGGAATATTAGTTTTAATGGTTATTTTATCTGAGCCGTCTTCTTTACGTGCACGGTGTATGCTCTTAGTTTTCCAGTCTGTCCAATAAATGAACAGTCCTGTCACTGTTAAACCATATGGATGTGGTACTTCCCGCAGTAACACTAAACGATAATTGCCATCCAAATCGCAAGATTCAATCAACTTTAAAACAAAAATAAAATAAAAACGGTAATTAGAAAAAGTAATAGAAACATGATATTTTAACATATGCTAATTAAATTGATTATCGATGGTCGTCTACTGATAGCCGTGCACGCCTACAGACAGCCATGCACCCCTACTGACAGCCATGCACCCCTACTGACAGCCATGCACCCCTACTGACAGCCATGCACCCCTACTGACAGCCATGCACCCCTACTGACAGCCATGCACCCCTACTGACAGCCATGCACCCCTACT